AGCAAGTTGCTATGGTAACGAATGGAAATTTGAGAGAAGAAAGAATAGGAGCACAAAGGCTTGGTTGATTTGAATTTAAACAAAGAATGTAAGGTTCCATGTAGTGCACCTTTGTTGTAGAAATCAGAAATCTAGTTTTAGAAAGTTACTTTCCAGTTTGTAAACTTCCTATACTCTAGTCTTGATTTAGGGAATGAAAACATCACAGCTTTGAGAAACACTGAAGAGTCATTTAGAATTCAGTCAGCCAAGTTCCTTTCTCAATTTCATAGCTTGTGAGTGCTGTTCACTCTGTTATATATGTGTTCTCAACTAGTGTCTAGGCTATATCATTTAATTTTTATTTTGGTGAGGTTAAAAATGTTAAGGTTAAGAAAAAGGTGGTTTGCTCATTTAAAAAACGTCAATACTTTGTTTATGTAACAACTGCTTTATTGAGTTGTACCATATATAACAGACTATACTCATTTGAAGTGTTACCTTCGATGAGTTTTAATAATTCCTGTGACATCATCATCATCAAAGTGTAGAACAGTTCTGTCACTCAAGCCTTACAGCCCTTTGTGGTCACCCCTATGCTTATGCTTCCAGCCGTTGCAGATGTGCTCTCTGTGCTTGTGGATTAGTGTGCATTCTAATGTTTATGGACTTGGGCTCATACAGCATCTACCTTTTTACATTTTATTTTTATTTTTAGTTATGTGTATGTGTGCATCTGATTTGGGTTTATGAACATGAGCACAGTGCCCATGGAAGCAAGAAGTGAGCATTAGATCACTTGGTGCTGGTTTAAAGGCAGCAGTGAGCCACCTGATGTGGGTGATAGAAACTGAACTCTACCCTCTGCAGTAGTAAGGAGATTGTACTCTTACCTGCTGAGCCATTGCTCCAGGCACACAGTATCTACTTTTTATATCTGGTTTCTTTCACTTAGCATCACAGTTTTGATGTTACCTGCTTTGTTTGGCATTTTAAAAGTATTCCAGTTGAGTTCTCCATTTGACAGTTGAGAACAGGGAACCCAATCAGCCTGCTACAGACCCACTATAGTTGAAAGTAATCCATATCTTATTTATACATATTATTTATTAGTTATGTTCTGTATGTGAGGGGGAAACTAAAGCATAGAGGTTAAGTGAAACAAATTGGTTAAGTACAAGGGATCTGGGTAAAAATGTTAAGTTTTGACTAAACTTAGTTGTATTCATGTTAATAGTTGTATGACCTTCGACAAGTTTGTTTACTGTGTGGAATTGTGTGATTGAAATGAAATAATGTATGTGAGGCACTTTGAACAATTCGTATCATACTGTGCTAATGTCAGATAAACTCTAGTTCAAGGTATTTGTAATTCAAGTGCAAATACACAAAATATTAAAATACAGTTAACTTATAGTAATCACAGTTGGAGAGTTTGATGACATATATACAAAGATATCCCATCATGTGATTATTTTAAATTTTGCTTATTACCATCATACATGTGCATGTTTGTCATGTATGTGTGTATATATATATATGTATATATATATCAGTATGTGAATGTAATTCCTTACCTTTTTTTTTTTTTTCAGACAGCATCATACCATGTAGTCCTGGCTGACCTGGGCTTTGCTATATAGACTATTCTAGCCTGACACAGAGATCTGCATGCCTCTGCCTCCCAAGTGCTATTAACTTTGCTTTTAGTTTTAAATAATTATAGGCTCTTAGAGGTTGCCAAAACAGTACACAGAGACTACGTATATCCCTTTTTCTATTTTCTATTTTCTAAAATTAGGATACCTAGGTAACATTGAAAGATGTATGCATTTTTCCAGGTCTTTGCTATTACAAATTAAAACTCACGTAAACATTGGTGACAAGCTCTTGGGTTGACATAACCTTTCCTTTCTCTGGGGTTGGGTTTTAAGAAACCATAGTGGTTGTAAACCCGTTTTATATTCCTACCTGCAGGACATAGTCAAATCTATGTTCTTGCCATTATTTGGCATTACCACTGTCTTTGTCTTTAGCAGTGCAGGTATATATGAAGCACTATTCCATGTGCATTTTACTTGTTGAAATAACTGTTTAAACTTTATGCTTGTTTTCTGATTGTATTTTTCCACTTCGTTAGAAAAGGTTTAAATTAGCTGTAACCTGTTTCATTGTTTTTGCTGAACCTCCTCTTCTACTCCCTCCCCATGTCCTTCTACCCCTCCCCCAGTATTCACCTTCCCACTTTAATGATTCATGTATTCTATTACTTCCACCCTCTCCTTATTTTTTCCTTCTCATGGTTCCCTTATATTTTACTTTGGAGTCTTGAGTTAAACTTTTACTTATTATTATTAATGTGTGTGGAAGGGGCGTGCCACAGCATGATTGTGAAGACCAAAGAACTATATTCAGGAGTCAGTTCTTCATGTGTTCAGCAAGTGCCTTTATATGTTCAGCTATCTTGCTAGCCCCTGAGTTATTTATGTATTCTGAATACAAATCCCTTCTAACTATAATTCTAGCACCTGGGAGGCTGAGGTTGGATTATGTTCTGGCCAGCTTGGGCTATGTGGTAAGATCCTATCTTAAAATACCTAACCCAACTAAAACAAAACAGAAAAAATCTTTTGTAGGTAGAAGATATACAACAGTGCATCCTAGTTTGAAAGTCTCATCTTTTTAGCAGAGTCTTTAGGAGAACAGGAATTTTCTATTAGTCTTTGGTTGTGACACTAGCATTTAATGGCTGAGCCTTCTCTCCACGTAAGGATGAGTTCTGTTTTTAACAACCCCCCATACACACGTTGGGGTGTTTTGAGTTTTCATTTATAAGAATGTATCATCTTATGCTAGTTCTGAAAAATATATATTATTTTCTCTGTTTCTCTCTCCCTTGCCTTTCCTCTTTCCCTTGTCTTAACATTATAAGGTTATGCTCTTAACATTGGCTCAGTCTATATATAGACCTTGTCATTTTCCACCAGCTTTTTTTTTAATGTGTGTGTGCAGGTACATATGTTGTTCTCTCTCTCTCTCTCTCTCTCTCTCTCTCTCTCTCTCTCTCTCTCTCTCTCTCTCTCTCTCTCTGTCTCTGTGTCTTTCTGTCTCTCTCTCTTCCTCTCTCCCTCCCCCCCTTTTACGTTTTCATTTTTCTGAGTTCCTCAGCACCAGCACAGGTGGCTTGATTCTCAGCCTTTTGCCTTACTTCCATATTCAGCCAGTGCCTGCATGGGAACCTGGCTGCCCTCTTAAGCCACATGGCTGCACCCCCTGCTCTTTGAGCTCATGGTACTCAGTATGTTTCCATGAATAGTCCTTCAACTTAAGTGGGTAACTTAAAACTTTCTCTTTTACCTGGGTGGACAGTGGTGGCACATGCCTTTAATCCCAGCACTCAGGAGGCAGAGGCAGGCAGATTTCTGTGAGTTTGAGGTCAGCCTGGTCTACAAAGCTACACAGAGAAACTGTGTCTCAAAATCTAAAAAAAAGAAAACAAAAACAAAAATACTTTCTCTTTTAAGTTTTTCATGGATGCTGTCATAGTTGGAAGTGATTTGTGATTGTTATACATTAGTTAGTTTCTTTGGCATTGATTTAACTGACTCAGCTTTCTGATTATACTATATTTAGCAATAATTATTCTTACTCAGTAGATAAGCCAGTGGTGAGAGTATAACTAGTTCACAATCAGCTGAGCTCAGTTTATTTTACAAACAACTAGAAAAATATTTAGTAGTCAGAAACCCAGGAATACTCTTGGGGATATTTAATCTATTCCTCTGGTTACAGTAGGTATCTTAGCCTAGTTTTATGTTTGGGACCACAAGTTTTCTTTTCATTAACTTAGTATCAAATTACAGCATTTGCTGTATTTACAACATTTTATTTCAGTCTAAAAAATCGTGTAGATGTTTGGTTTTTTTTTAACGTTTTTAAAAAAAATAATTGATCAACAAAAGGTGAGAGACCATTTCTTAACTGGAACACTTTTTACTGTGTATAACTATGGAGAGGTCTCTTTCCATTTCCATCCTTTACAGTGTAACTACCTATCTTCTCCCTTCTATTCTTTCCAGAACCCCTTGCTGCTGCTAATTTGCTCTTTTTGATAGGTGTTAATTGAAGAAAATGTAGAAATTGAAATACATAAAAGGAAATTAAAACCCTTACAGTCCCATTGCCAAATAATAAAACTAATCATTGCTGAGCTTTAGTGCATATCTTGTATAGTTTTTTCTTTTTTATATTAAGTGGATTGTTTTATTAGTAATTCCTAGCCTGCTTCTTCACTAATAGTACCTGTAACACTTAAATATGTACAAGGATTTATCAATTTTGTCATAGTCCTTGGATTTAACCAAATTAGACTCTTGAGAAATAGATTGGGGAACATTTTATTTAAAAATCTTAGAAATATTTGTCGTGGGGCTGGAGAGATGGCTCAGAGGTTAAGAGCACCGACTGCTCTTCCAGAGGTCCTGAGTTCAGTTCCCAGCAACCACATGGTGGCTCACAACCATCCATAATGAGATCTGGTGCCCTCTTCTGGCCTGCAGGGATACATGGAGGCAGAATGTTGTATTCATAATAAATAAATAAATCTTTAAAAAATATTTGTAGTGAGATATCCACTGCCACCCAGCACCTGTAACTGTGACCATGCCCATTCTGGCGTGGCCACAGGTACAGAAGTGGCATAGAGTGGGTTTACTTTTTGGGGTCAGGACAGGTGGCTCTCTCTTGCTTCTTGGTCTGGTCATGGAGAGTATCTGGGTGGCAGGGTCGGCATCCTTGGAATGGGAACTCGAGGCAGTCATCTGTTTCTTGTGTAAGTTCATTCTCCCCGAATAAACTTCACTTAACCTGTCCTGAGTCTAGTGAGTCTTGATTTCCACGAAATAAATATTAATAGCCTTGAAAAAATTTTAAAGATCAATAAAAAGTAACTCAGGCTATTAACAAACACTTAAATTATCTAAAGCTCTTTATCTAATTATTCAATTTTAACTTTTTCCTAGCCATTCCACCCTATGGTGAACCTGGACTGTTCTCGGGATTTTCGGCCATTTCTTTGTGCACTCTATGCTCCTATTTGTATGGAATATGGGCGTGTCACACTTCCCTGTCGTAGGCTGTGTCAGCGTGCCTATAGCGAATGTTCAAAGCTCATGGAGATGTTTGGTGTTCCTTGGCCTGAAGATATGGAATGCAGTAGGTATGGTCATTTTTTTTATGCTGATGTTTGCCTTTTCTTTCATCTGTTTTAAAGAGCAGGATTTTTTCAATGTATAGATGTATATATTAATGTTGAGCACTGTTTCATTGTCTTATTTTTGTAGGAATTGGGAAGAAGTAAATGAATATGATAGGAAGAAGATATTTCTATGAAGAAATTTAAAAGAATTAAGAATCATAAAGACATTTTTTTCTTTTCTGCCTTTAAAACACTTTTCTGTTTCTAGAAGTAATGCCATTCATGAAAAATTAGAAGCTAGGTGGTGGTGGTTCATGCCTTTAATCCCAGCCCTTGGGAGACAGAGGCAGGTGGATCTCTGTGAGTTCAAGGCCAGCCTGGTCTACAGAATGAGTTTTAGGACAACCAGGACTACAGAGAGAAACTGTGCCTCAAAAAAAAAAAACAAAACAACACCACCAAAAAAAAAAAAAAAAAAGAAGAAGAGGAAAATAATTAAATAATTACTCATGACTATCATTTTAGCAGCTTAAATGCTTTTGATAGGATGTGCTGATATTTAGGGTTGATGGGTCAATTTTTTTCTCCCTATCACATATTAGCACCCAGTTGAGAAAATGTTGGTGCTTTTCAAATCTTATGTAACACATAGACTGTGAACTGTTACAGAAGATTTAGGAATTTGTTTAGCAGACATTCCTGTAGTTTTGTAGGAGTCAGTACTATTAAGAGTAATGATATAGTTTGTTATATAACATACCTTCCTATTTTCTGCAATTATTTCAGAGATAACGAATAATAAGGGATTTATTATATAACATACCTTCCTATTTTCTGCAATTATTTCAGAGATAACGAATAATAAGGGAATACTTATATACTCACAATGATCTGCCTTTTTCCTGCCCTCAACATTTTGTAATGTTTGTCTTCAGATCTTCTTTTAAGAAATAAAATATTGTAAATACAAGCTGAGCTTGGTGGCATATGCTTGTAATCCCAGCATTTGGGAAGCTAAGGCAGGAAGATTGTGAGTTTGAGGCCAGCCTAGGTTACATATTGAGACTCTGTCTGGAGTGAGGTGGGGGGGCTCTATAGTACAGCTGCATGCTTTGTTGGCCCTTGTCTTGCTTGCATTTCCTTCTTTTCTCCCCAAGGTTTGGTAAATATGGTAAAGTAACTATTAATTACGTCCATGCTTGGTTTATACATTTTACATATATATGTGTATGCATATATATATATTAATTAAACAAAATGTTTTCCCTGATCTATTCTTGTTTGTGTTTCTTAAATTACTAATTAAAAGTTAATATCTGATAGTTAACTGTGTTAAAATCCTATAATTATTTAGCTGTCTCCTATTGATAATTGTTTAGATTACTCTACAGTGTTTATTAGAAACTATTTCTCCTTTAAAGTACTTTTGACTGTGATCTGGCAGTAGCTGGTAGAGTAGTATATCATGTCTTCACATGACAGAAGGGCTAGAAAGCAAAAAGGCAATCTCTTCTTAAAGCCCAATCTATGAGAGCTTTGCCTTTATTACTAATACTACCACAGTGAGGACTAAGTTTAACACATGAGATGTGTTGGACATGTATCATGAACATCCTTGGTTTCTTCCCCAGCCTCTTTATTTTTTTTTTCATCATTTAGTATAAGCTTTGTTACCAGTAACAGAGATTGGGCTAGGGGAGTCTAGAGTGCTTGCTCAGCATTCATTCATAAAAGCCTTAGGTTCTAAACCCAGCATTGCCTCTCCTGAAGCTAGAGAGTGCACATGAGATCTAAAACTCATTTGTGAGGTTTTTTTATTACTAATGTAGCTCACAGCACCTTGGACCATACATTTAAGGAAGATTTTTAAATCTTAAGTTTGAACTTTTATCTGCTGTTCTTTTTACACAATATAATTACACATACATATACACACTTATTTCACATTTGGAAACTATAAAGACTATACTAAATAAATAGTCCACATATATGTTGTTTATTTTTGATGGCTGGTTTGACTGAATGGAGTGCTGATTTTGAGGGTAAAACAAATTTAATTTTAAGACTGTCATTTAAAATCTGCTTGAAGCCTCCCCAGAACATGCCATTTTCTTTTATTTTGGTGTTTTTTTGAAGATTTAAAAAAATATATACAATTTGTTTTTATTTTATGTTCATGGGTGTTTTTCATTCATGTATGTCTGTGTAATGGTGTTAGAAACCTTGGAACTGGATTTACAGACAGTTATGAGCTGCCTTGTGAGTGCTGGAAATTGAACCCATGTCCTCTGGAAGAGCAGCCAGTGTTTTTAACCACTGAGCCATCTCTCCAGCCCCTTGTTTTCTTTATTTTTATTTATCACAAGTGATGGGAATAGATGATATTACAGGTGCTAAATTTAGAATTTGAAATTGCTAAGTGACAGCAGATCTACCCGAAGTAAATATGGTTATCATCTTTATTTTTTAGGTTTCCAGATTGTGATGAGCCATATCCCCGACTTGTGGATTTGAATTTAGTTGGAGATCCAACTGAAGGTGCCCCAGTTGCAGTACAGAGGGATTACGGTTTTTGGTGTCCCCGAGAGTTGAAAATTGATCCAGATCTTGGCTATTCCTTTCTGCGTGTTCGAGATTGTTCACCACCATGTCCCAATATGTACTTTAGGAGAGAAGAACTGTCATTTGCTCGCTATTTCATAGGACTAATTTCAATCATTTGCCTCTCTGCCACGTTGTTTACTTTTTTAACCTTTTTGATTGACGTCACAAGATTCCGTTACCCTGAAAGGCCTATCATATTTTATGCAGTCTGCTACATGATGGTGTCATTGATTTTCTTCATTGGCTTTTTGCTTGAGGATCGAGTAGCCTGCAATGCATCTAGCCCTGCACAGTACAAGGCTTCCACAGTGACACAAGGATCTCACAATAAAGCCTGTACCATGCTTTTTATGGTACTCTATTTTTTCACTATGGCTGGCAGTGTATGGTGGGTAATTCTTACCATCACATGGTTTTTAGCAGCTGTGCCAAAGTGGGGTAGTGAAGCTATTGAGAAGAAAGCATTGCTGTTTCATGCCAGTGCCTGGGGCATCCCTGGAACTCTAACTATCATCCTTTTAGCGATGAATAAAATTGAAGGTGACAATATTAGTGGCGTGTGTTTTGTCGGCCTCTACGATGTTGATGCGTTAAGATATTTCGTTCTTGCTCCCCTCTGCCTGTATGTGGTAGTTGGGGTTTCTCTCCTCTTAGCCGGCATTATATCCCTAAACAGAGTTCGGATTGAGATCCCACTAGAAAAGGAAAACCAAGATAAGTTAGTAAAGTTCATGATCCGGATTGGTGTTTTCAGCATTCTTTACCTTGTACCACTCTTGGTTGTAATTGGATGTTACTTTTACGAGCAAGCTTACCGTGGCATCTGGGAAACAACATGGATACAGGAACGTTGCAGAGAATATCATATTCCATGTCCATACCAGGTAAGGGAACCCTTGTTATAATTCTCGGAATGTGTGTTAATGAAAAGAGGGTTACTATAAAAAGTAATCTTATCTGTTGTTTTCCTTCTAATTCGTCATGAACCTTAAGCATGTACATTAAAGTTTTAAAGTGAAGATAATTGATAAGCATGTATTGTGGTAAGTTTATAATACACATACTTGTATAGATTTTATTTGGTTTTTGTTTTAGTTTTTTGAGACAGGGTTTCTCTGTGTAGCTTTGTAGACCAGGCTGGCCTCAAACTCACAGACATCTACCTGCCTCTGCCTCTCAAGTGCTGGGATTAAAGATGTGCACCACCACCTGGCTAGATTTTCATTTTAAAAGATGATTTATATTTTCATATTATGAGCTTAAAGCAACTTATCTCATCACCACAAAATATTTGATTCTTTGAAAGTCAAGTTTTATAGGGGAGAAAACTGTTCCAACTCTGAGAGAAGGGTCCTGTCTTCTGTGGAAATTTCATTGGTGGTCAGATTATTTGAACAGTTTTATAGAAATAGCTGAATTCAATTGTGTAAACTCTTGGCATTACTTTTTCTTGTTTGTATACAGAATACTTTGTGATGTACCTTCTAGTTTGAAGAGCCATAGAATCAGAATTTTAGATCTAGAAAGAAGTTTAAAGATCATTTATTTTGATTCTGTCCATAAATTAAATTTTCATACATCTGTTTTGTTTGACTATTTGAACTACTGGGGGCTTGCCCATGCTTAGTGTGTGACCATTTAGTCTTAGGAGAGTAACTGAGAACAGGCCAGAGGACCTCATCCTCTAGATGGTGCCTAGTCTTCCTCCCTTTTTTTTTTTTTTGGTTTTTCGAGACAGGGTTTCTTTGTGGCTTTGGAGGCTGTCTTGGCACTAGCTCTTGTAGACCAGGCTGGCCTCGAACTCACAGAGATCCGCCTGCCTCTGCCTCCCGAGTGCTGGGATTAAAGGCATATGCCACCAACGCCCAGCAGTCTTCCTCCTTTTAAAAGGGTTTTCTTTTTCTTTTGTAATTCTTTAAGGGTTATTTAAATTTATGTGTATTTGCTAGCATGTATGAACATATACCACTTGTGTGCCTGGTACCAGTGGAGTTCAGAAAAGGGTGTTGTGTCTTCTGGAACTGGGTCTGTGGATGACTGTGAGCCATTATGTAGGTGCTGGGAACCAAACCTGGCTTTTCTCAGAGAGCAATAAAGGTTCTTAACTGCTGAGCAGTCTCTCAGCCCCTCAAAAGGTGTTTTCTTAGTGTTCTAATGTGGCATCTGTTCACCATCTTCTGTGTGCACTAGTCATCTTACAGCTCCCTGACATGTCTCAGACCTTTAAACACTATTGAAGTGTTTACATCTCAGACCAAAGGGCTTGCATTCCTCTATCTTTTCTTCTGCTAGACAGTGAACTTTTTTTTTTTTTTTTTTTTTTTTTTTTTGGTTTTTACGAGACAGGGTTTCTCTGTATTGTTTCGGAGGCTATCCGTCCAGCCCGGCCTCGAATTCACAGAGATCCGCCTGCCTCTGCCTCCTGACTGTTGCCACCACTGCCCGGCGACAGTGAACTCTTTGAGAGCAAGACATTTTTCTTTTATTGAAAATAGATTCTGTTTTTTTACAGTATATCTGATTATAGTTTTCCTCTCTCTACTCTTCCTAGTTCCTCCCCACCTCCCGTTCCCTTTGGATCTACTTTCTTTTTGTCTCATTAGAAAAGAGCAGGCTTTTAAGAGATAGCAATCAAACATGACTAAATAAAATATAGTAAGATGAAGAAATGGAAATCTAAAAAGAGGAAGAGTTCCAAGAGCAGACACAAAAGTCAGAGACCCACTTGTTCTCACACTGAGAAGCCTCATAAAATACTAATAGCTATAATATATATGCAGAGGACCTGGTGTAGACCCATGTAGGCCCTGTGTTTTCTGCTCAGTCTCTGTGTGTTCATATGTGCTTTGCTTAGTTGCTCCAGAGAGCATTTTTTTTGTGGTGTCCTTCATCCCCTCTGGCTCTTGCTGACATCCAGTTAGAACAGCACCATTTGTTGAAGTTGCTATCTTCTTTCCAGTATCAAAAATTGGGTGTCAGTGGGTATACGGATTTATGTCTAGGTCTACTATTTGATTCCACTGATCAATGTTCCTGTTTTATGTCAATACCCTGTGGTTTTTTATTACAGTAGCTCTGTAGTTCATCTTGAAATTGGAAATTGTGGGGACTCCAGCAGTTCTTTTATTGTTCAGAATTGTTTTAGGTGTCCTGGGTTTTTGTTTTTCCATATAAAGAATTGTGTTGGAATTTTAATGAGGATTGTGTTGAATCTGTAGATTGCTTTTGGTAATGGCCATTTTTGCTATGTTAATCCTACCAATCCATGAACATGGGAGCTCTTGCTATCTTCTGATGTCTTCTTTAATTTCTTTCTTCAATATCTTGAAGATTTTATCATGCAAGTCTTCTACTTGTTTGGTTAGATTTACCCCAAGATACTTTTATATTACTTGAGGCTATTGTGAAAGATACTGTTTCCTTGATTTCTTTCTCAGTCCATTTGTCATTTGTATATAGGAAGGCTACTGATTTTTTTGTTTTGTTTTGTTTTATTTTGTTAAACTTGAATCTAGGCCACTTTGCTGAAAGTGTTTATCAGCAGTAGGAGTTTCCTGATGAAAATTTTAGGGCCATTTTGTATATTATCATATCATCTGCAAATAATAATACTTGACTTCTCTCTTCCCAATTTGTATTCTCTTAATTTCCTTCAGTTGTCTTATTGCTCTAGCTAAGACTTCAAAAACTCTATTTTATAGGTAAGAAAAGAGTGGACATCCTTACCTTGTTACTGATTTTAGTGGTATTGCTTTGAGTTTCTCCCCATTTAAGCTTATGTTGGCTGTGGACTTGCTGCAAATTGCCTTTACTAAGTTTAGGTATGCCTTGTATCCCCAGTCTCTCCAGGACTTTTATCATGAAGGCATGTTGGATTTTGTCAAACGCCTTTCCTACATCTAACAAGATCTGTCAAGTCTCTAAACACTATTAAAGCACTTCTCGTGTCCATGTATCTTTTCTTCCTGTTAGACAGTGAACTCTTTGAGAGAAAGAACTTTAAAAAAAATGTTTGAATACATATTCTATAGTTGGTAAATGAAAAGTTGCCACAGAGATACAGAAAAAAGAATACCTTAGAGAAGTAGTAACACAATGCTTCAGTGAGGATAAGGTTAGCACATAGTCAGTGCTCAGAGTCAGTGGTGACAATGACAGTTTACTGCTTTCTTCTGGTTTGATATTTTAAAAGACTGCCTCATAGCCAAACATTGTTTCTTCACCAGCCATAAAACAATATGTAATTGAATACTAGGTAACATATAGGGAAGCGATTAATGTGAGTCAACCATGTCTTTTATGTACTTTCAGGTCTGAAAATTGTATTAGGGGTTTTTAGTAAGCAAATCTAGTAAGAAATTCAATAGAAGATCATTATTATTTTTCCCCAATCTATAAATTGTGGGTTTAAAAATAGTAGCTAATATTTCTTACAAATATAAAAGCATTGTTTGTACCAATTATACCACAAAGCAAACGAGAAACTGTCATTATCATCATCTACTATAAGCACTGACTGTGTGTTAACATCATATTCATGTCCCCAACACTGCTGTTACCATTTATTTAAAATAACCTTTCTTCTTCATCCATATGCCCACATTCTTTGTAATATTACTTCTTGTTCTCTATTTTATTTTGTTTTTACCAAAATTTGCAATTGTTGCATCGTAGGAAAAAGAGTCTTCAACTCAAGTGGCTATTTTATTAGATTCAGACATTTTTTTCTCTTTTATAAGTATCAGGCATGAAAGTTTTTTTGCCAGGCTTTGAAGTACTACCCCAGTTGTTTAGTGTTTACATTCCCTTACTAGTAATAAGATTATTTTCCCATGTGCCTATTAGCCTTGCGGCTTCTTCCCTGTGACTTGTCTATTTGTTATCTTTGTTTACTGCTCTAATAGGTTGCTGTTGGTTGCTGATTTCCAGTTACTTGCATCACAGCAAGTATCTTCTCTGACCTACCTTTTGTGATTTGGGGTTTATGTTTGTTTGTAATTTTCTGGTTTGGTTTGGTTTTTAGATTGCTTTTTGGGGGGAGGGGGTTCAAGACAGGGTTTCTCTGGATTTGGAGACTTTCCTGGAACTAGCTCTTGTACACCAGGCTGGTCTCAAACTCACATAGATCTACCTGCCTCTGCCTCCCGAGTCCTGGGATTAAAGGTGTGTGCCACCATCACTTGGTTTACAAATGTCTTATTAATGCAACATACATATACACAAACTATAAAGGAATAAGAAGCTTAAATATCTGCATCATAACAGGGTGGAGAGAGCACTGGAAGAAGACTGCAACAGCTTGATACCCATGGGAGAAAGAGCATCTTCACAGGCAAGGGGGAGTCTGGGATCTGCACCTTCTCAAGTTCTTCTCATTCACAATCATGAGGGGTACTCCATTCACAGGGAGGTGTGTCTGATGCTCCTCAGGAAGGTCAGAACTAAAAGTCTACAGCAGCGGTCCTCAACCTTCCTAAGGCTGCAATCTTTTAGTACCATTCCTCATGTGTGGCAACCCCAAACCATAAACGTATTTTTGTTGCTAATTCATAGCTAATTTTGCTACTGCTATGAATTGTAAATATCTGATATGCAACTCCTATGAAAGGGATCATTTGACTCCCTGTGGGGTCGCAACCCACAGATTGAGAACCACTGGTCTAGACTTTTCTGTTGTCATCAGAAGCAGGAAAAGAACTTTGTATTTTAACAGTCTCCTTGGTGACCTTTTTCATAGTAAAAGTTAGTTGTTTTTCTTTGAGGGGTCAATTAATTTTGACTGACTTTTCTGAGCTCTTGACCAGCCTGTCTACCAGTGCTGGGTAAGGCTGGTGGAGCACTGAACACTTTGCCATCCTGTGATTTTAAAACCTGCTATTTCCCA